TTATTTTAATATCGTGGAATTTGTCATAGTCAAGCCTAAAATTGGGAATTGTTTATTAATTACCATGGCTTAAATAAATAAACCAAGAAATTAAAAGCAAACTTTTTTCCTAACAAAGTTAAACAAAACCACCTCGTACTTCCTTTGCTTTTATTTATATAGAAAAATATTTGCTTCCAAAATTATTCCCGAATAAAAGTTACAAAATAAAATTTATTTATAAACTCAATATATAAATAGTTTCCTAATGGCTTATACAACGTAGATTTATTTATAATTTCCCTAGCACCAGACACACTTCAGTGCGCCTACAAGTGTGCTTTGATTTAGGAAAATCAAACTTTGTGGTATAAATTTAAAAAAAAATTAACTGAAAGCCTACAGTTGGAAAAGGAATCTATACATTGTATGGAACACTTAAAAATAGAATCACGTGCGAGTCTAAATAACGAGCAATGAACTTTTTAGACAGACTAATATTGCGGTATTAAAATTCCTCCTTAGTGATTCGCTTTATTAATTTATTACTTGTATAAGCAAATATTTAAATTTTTTTATATAGAGACGCTCACTTAGAACCTAAAAAGTTGTGGCCTCCTTGTGATTCCAAAGAGTAGTTTCAGAGTGTATAAGCTGACTGTAAAAATTTTAGATATAGATATTCCAATTATCAACCAAAAAAATTTCAATTGAGATACTCCTATTCTGAGCCAAGAAAACAGTGCATTGTTGTGATAAAAAGGGCAATATGTTTAATGTGTCGAGTATATATTCTTAATAATTTATATTCTATAGAACATTTATTTTATTACCTTTCAGTTGAAGTTCATTACCGCCACGCAAAATTTAATCTCTAATCTTTAATTAAAATAGATATTTCATTTTTTATGAAATCAAAATGATTTTTGCCCACACACTTTTCTAGTCTAGCCAGTAGCTTTAAAAGTGCCGAACCATTGATAAGAAAACTCTGAATTAATAAATAATAAATTTACCAACTTGATAATTCTCAAGAATGAATGTTATAAATAATTTATTTTAATTCTTAAATTTTTAAATAATAACTTCGATGGTCACAAAATAGATAACATCGTCAATAATTTCTATTGATCACATACATTATGATAAAAATTTAATTAAAATAATAAAAATAAATTTATTTTAATATAAAAAAAATATATTTAATAATGGCCATTTTAGGAATGCAAAATATTTTTAGACCATGTGCGTGTTCGAGTAAATTGATTTGAAATAAAATGAGGGAAATAGTAAATTATGTCGGTATAGCAGCGAATGTTAGTATTTACCAGAATTTCGAATAGAGTAAATTAGATAACAATTAGGTGAATTAATAAAATTTAATAAGATATTTAATAAGTAAATAAATAAACATTAAAACTTAAAACTTTTAACCAAAAATAATAAATAAGTGCAATAAATGGAAACAAATCCTAGGAAACAAACATACTTTACCTCAATTTACTCGAACTCGCACACGGCCTTTGTATCTTAAAAAATATTTAAAATATCAAAAAACACTTGACAAATTTCATGACCTTTTGCGAGATTTTCTTTTATTTTTGTGCAAAACTTTTGCTAACATTTGAAAAAAAAAAGTTTTATTTTTTATAATTATTTTAAATATATGTTATAAAAGGCCAGTTTTAATTGTTACCAGTTAAATAATCTGATTATGGTAATCTACGTCTTCCGGTTTTTCTATTTACTAATATAATATATTGTAAATGCAATAAAAAAAACTCAATTAAATTATTTACATAAGGCGTTTAAAGTAATCTTTTTCAAATTGCTTACTTGGAAATGTGGAAATGTGGAAATGTTGGGTTTTAAATAAAAGGAAAAAAAATTAAATTATAGAAAATTGCCACCAACATTTCCGATGTTTATCTGAATCTAACAGCAATTGTTGTAATTGCATTAAGTCATTTAAGTAGTTTTTGTTGTAAGTGCTGTTGTTGTGATTGTTAGTTTTGCTCGCCCATTGCAATTTCCCTTGAGCTGCAACAGTGTTCATAAAAGCACAGATACGACAACAAAGCGACCAAATTACACGCACTTGTAATTGATGTTTATCTGAATTACTCCGCAGCAAAATATTTATGCCACACCGTACTGTACTTTGATACATGACGAAGTTACTACTAGTAAATGCTGGTAAGCGCAGACAAAGCATGTTATCAGAGCAGCAGCAAAGTTGCACATGAGAAATAAAATAAATCAACAATAATTAATTTTTCATGTTACTGTAAAATCACTTAAATGGTATCGTCACCTCATAGCACTTAAGTATATTTCAATATTAATTACAAATACTTATATACAATATAAACAAATATACAAACTTGCAGTCAGTAATTTCTGTACAAAGTCATTCACTTAACAGTCATATAGTATGTAAATAAAAATTCCCACATAAAGTTTTTTTTTTTTTGTGATTATATTTAATTAATTTAATATAAGTAAAGTGCTTAGGTAAATAATAAAAGTGAAAAACTTTTCATGAAACAAAACTAACTTTTATCTTGATTTATATTGACAAATTGGGCACTTGAGTTTGTCAAGCACAACGTCATGATGAAGGCAAGATTTAGATAGGAATTGTGACTTTTCACACAGCTAATCTCTTACAGGCACAATCATATTGAATTCGTAAGTGGTTTGTACTTTTTATTTTTAATTAAAAATAAAAAAATTTTATCTATAACATATTAGCAAATTTTTCATATAAAATATTTATTCTTGATTCATGTTAAAATTTTTGCTATTTTTCTATATATTCTGATGGTGACTTTAGGTTCTTAGCTGTTATCAATTTTATCATTTTTTGGATTTTTCGGATTTTGTATTACGGCGCCTGTCAAGATATCGTACTTCGCTTCACTCTGTCCAATAAAATTAAAAAGTTCTTTTCTACAATGAAAATTTATGAAATTAAATTATCTTATCATTAAATTTTTATTTTATTAAATTAACATTTTTTTTTCTACTTTGATATCTTGTCATTTTATTTTTAAGTCAAAAGTCTGGAATTTAGTAAAAGCTTTAAACATTTTTTGCCTTAAGTGAAATTGCGAAAAGTAGAAAAATTGTGCGGAATTATGAAATATTTTTACTTTTATTTGCTTTATAATATTTTTTTAAATAACATTTGCATATTAAATAGTTTTATTTTTTTTTGTCATACTTTAATGATAAAAAATCGACTGTCGCGTGACATGTCTTAAAATTCTTTTAAAATTTATATATTAATAATATAAAATACTTTCTTTGATGTATGAAATTCAATCTTTAGTTTTTGGATTTCAGTACAATTATAATCAAATATAATTAAACTATTCATAGAAGATTCCATTAGAGTTTCAAGTAATGATAATACTGTTGCCTCTTCTCCTCGTGAAGCATAGGCCTTCTAATGATGATATTAACGAAAGTAATGATAGTCACTAATTTATAGTTACTACATTGTATTTAGCTATGATCTGTGATATATTTTTGGGTACACTGTATATACACTATATATAAATATATAAAATGTTTCATAAAATTTCTTTCCACCATTGAGAGAGTTGTCCATTTATGATAATGATTTATGATTATTTTATTGTTTTTACATTTTATTATTACTGTGTCCCCTTCTGAGTTTAGAGTAAGTCTCTAAGCCCTATTGCGTCTATAAAAAATAGTATAGAATATACTTTAAACAGTTTTATTGCCTCTTCCATAAAAATTTTTCACATTATTTGTGAACGATATTAAAATAAAAATAAGAGACAAATTAATGCATGCCTACGACTTAATGGAAAAAGCTGAATGAGAAGTTTAAAGCCACATTTGTGATATGGGTATATTTCTCTATTGTATTATTTTATATTTTTCACATTATTTGTAAATGGTATTAGAAGAATTTTAGAAAATTTTTTTTCCTGACACGAAAATAATTCGAATCATCTATCTTTCTCTTATAAAGATAATATATATTATACTTTTCCAAGATATGATAATCCTCATAAAAACATCTGCTTGTCAGAGTAATATTTTTAATATATTTTTATAGTACTTAACCTGTTTTATCTTAAATCAACACATCAAATTATAATACATTACATTTATTTTAGTAGGAGAATGGAAAAATTTTTTAGCCGCACTGCTTGCTGCACTTTATCTGTCGCCAGACAAAAGTTGCACGTTAATCTCTAAAGATTTTAGCACAATTTTCAAACTCTAATGCATACCACAGACTAGTCACAACAACAACAAAATTACAATATAAACAGATTATAGAAAGTATATAAAAAAAACTACAACAACAATTACATATATTTCCCACCCACTTTATTTGAAGTGGCCTGAAGTGAATTCACCACTCAAAAAAGCTATTGACTTCAATTAAATATCAGAAAAAAACAAAAACAACACAGTCGCCTAAACAACTCGGCCCTTGCTCATTATATTTTCTTTTTTTTCTTTCATTTTCTCGTTTTTCTTTTTGTTAAGATTATAATTTGCAAACTTTTAAGAGAGTAAAAATTTCAGTTTTTGTGTTGTTGTTGTTTTTCTGTTATTCTAAAGTTTTGTTATCTCCTTATCATGAAATAAAATTTTTTCTTTGCTTTTTTATGCTGAATAAAATAATTAGCCCAATATTTGATATCATAAAGTAAAACAAAGCGTAAAGTAAATATAAATATTATATATAACAAAAAAAGTAAGCAAGACAAATAAAATGAAATTACTCATTTGTCTTCAAAAATTTGAAAAAATTTAAAATGTAAATCAGTTCAACAGCTCAACTCGTTCGCTCACGTTTATTTGTCAATTTTAATAAAAATTTGCTACAATTTTCGTGCATCTTCATTGCAATTAAACTAATTTCTTAAGCAAAATTAAAATTACATTTCCGCTACCTTAAAACAAAGCTAAAAGCTTAAGCTTATAAATAATAAAATAGTTCAGAGCGTATAAAAAAAATAAATTAAAAATAATAATTAAATAATTTTACTTCTGCTAAATTGTTTACTTCTGCTTTAAATTGTACGCGTAAAACGAAAAATTGAAAAATTGAAAAATGCTGCAAATGGCTTTGCGTTCGTATAATGCTTTGATTTGGTATGTTAGCTTTCAATTTCCACCACAGAAGGAAAAAAAATTGAAAGCACTATTCTAGTTGAAACAGTTTAGTTTGTTATTGTAGTTGTACTCGTTATTGTTATTGTATTGTAATCGTTATGTTATTAATTGTGATTGCATATGATTTGTTTGGAGCCAGAGCCAGTTTAATCACGTATTGAGTATATGTGAGTACTGTATAAATGTGTGTGCGATTGGGTTGTAAACAAATAACATCTGTTTAATGTTGTTTTTATTGTCACTACACAGAGGCGTGAAAAGTTGCATTATTAAGCAGAAACGCTAATGAAAATGTTGAAGTGCAAATGTTAATTTATTGGTATGAACTGTAAATTAAATACTTAAGATTATTTTCATAGATTAAATGCAAAACTTTCAATAGAAATAATGTGTTAATACTGGTTTTTATGATATTTATTTATAACTTGAAGTAAATTTCTACTGAATTAGTAAAGTCATAAATTGTAAAACATACTAAATTATCAGTTCAGCGAGAGTTCAGCGATATTTACACGATTATTCAATAAGCAATTAAAAATAATAAGAAAAAAATTTTTTTTTCAACTTACAAAATCATGACTCAAGTTAAACAGTCAAAAAATATTTAAAAAAAAATATACAAATAAAGTTAGTGAGATAATCAACTCAAAACTTATTGCACAAAAAAATGTGAATAAAAGAAAATACTACTCTTAATAGATTATTTAATTAATTATTTTCTGGATCTATATAAGATATAAGTTTATACATATGCTATCTCAGTTATAATAAAACTTCTTAATATTACAGTATTTATATATTAAAGTAGTATATAAAAATTAAATCTCTGAGTTTTTCTTTGGTTTTCGTAATGAAAAAAACTTTTAAGTTTTTGCATAATTTAAAATTGGTTGAAAAAGTACCTCAAAAAGAAAATTACCGAAACAACAACATCCGCAGTGTTATGAAATAATAACATGTTTAATGCTTTTCTTCTAAGATGCCTGAGTTTTAAATTACTTCCGCGTAAAGTGCAAAAGTGGCAACGCCAAGAGACAGTTTTTGCTTTTGCAGTCAACAAATTTGCATGGGAAGCTGAAAATGACACTTGCTGAGTGCTTTATGCACCTATAAAAGACTTCAGCATTACAAAAGATTTTGCACTTTAGTGCTATAACGTATATGGTATACATACATAAAGTTACTATTTGGCTAATGAAATATAATTAATTAACAAAATTACTTAATTGCTTAACGCTTTTTCGGATTAAATTAAGTTTTTAAACAATTTTCAAAGTGTTTAACCTAAGCAAAATAGTTTTATGGCAATATTCGTCTTTTGAAAAAGGCAACTTGTGCACCAGGCATTTAAAAAATTTGTTAATTGAATTTAGTTAATTGAAGTATAACATTATTTTAATTATACTTAACATATACATATGTCTGTTAAGCTTATGAAATATATCTGTTAACTTGTTCAATTAACAGAACTACAAGCAATCATACCGATTCTCACGCTTGTTCAAACCTTATTTGTTTTTGCTTTGAATTTAATTCTGTTCTTCTCAATGTAAACACTTCTTAAGGCTTTAATTATAGCACACATTGCTCATACTTTATCTTTTTATATCCATTAAAATAATATTATATTACCATAGCTTGCACACTTATAAATTCACACTATTAGATTGTGAATGCGACCATTATTTTGTCATTTACTTGTAAATTGTTGCCGTTATTGATGCCACAAATGTGGTTAATTGTGTGAAACATGCAGTAGCAGCAGCAGCAACAACAACAACAACAATAACAAGAAAACAATGGCTACAACGGTAAACTCACCACAACAATGTAAAATCGCTTCACATGCGTTGAGGTGAGGCGGCAGTGTATGAACTCATGTAATTCGAGTTCAATGCACACAAAAGCTTTACAGAAGCAATGTAAAAAGGTGCACTGAACATACATATTGCACATCGGTTATAGGTAAGGTAAATAACGCCATTGCTGCTGACAATGCTAGGAGTTGTTGTTGTGGTTATTATTATGTTTTTCTTGTTGTTGTGTTTTTACATTTGCTTTATTGCAGCAATTCCACATTGACCCAGTTAATATATGCAACAAAGTAGCGTCAATCAAGGTTGCAAGAAGTCAAAACTGACATCAAAAGTAAAAGTTGAGGGTTGCGAGAATGTTTGCCAATTATTGTGTCAAACTATGGATTTTAATAGGATATTCTGTATCTGATAATTTTTATACGATTACTTACTGAATATCAACAAATCCAACATGCTTTTTGCATTTCGACTGAACACATATTGCAATGTTATAGCACAATAACTACTGTACTATACTGTACTGTATTATTAAATATATTTCAATGAATGACAAGCAAAATAAAAAAAAGTAATAAAAAGTAAATTTATCAAAGATTAAGAAAAATGTGACAAATGAAAAGAAAATTTCCTCAAAGAAAAAAATTATAAAACACAATAAATACGAAAAATATACTGAACTAATATTCTAAAATTATAATGTTCCTATATTTCTAATATCCTATATTTCCTATCCAATCTAATATAAGTTAGTAATTTGAGTTAGCTAGTATGAGTATAGTAACACTTGGCTGATTAAATGATTACTAGCAACAAAAGAGATCGCTAGCTTGGGAGGAAAAGGGATTTATCTATATTCATTCAGTCGAAATTTATCTACACGATATTGGGATACGGGACTTATAAGATTGCGTCAACACTTCAAAGTATTGATTGCCTGTCAAGTTATTGCCCGGTGTCAAAAAAAAATCTTAACAACTTATTTAAAAACACAACAAAATGCTTTTTTTTAAAACAGATGACAGGCTTTTGAAAGACAGTGCCTCAACTCCTTTTATAAAGTATTCAGTACGTATCCAGTACGTACCTTTATACAGGTTTCATGGAACAGAATGTGATCTGGAGTTTTGATTCAAAAGTTATTATTATGTTGCTCAACAGATTTCATCTATCCAAGTTAGCACAAAAGACTTTCCCTAGAGATAGCGCAATATATTCCAAAGATCTTAATATACTACGAAGTTTTTTGATGCTACGAATCGAAGGAAGGAATCAGAAAAAATGTCCCGTATTAAAAGGCTGAGCGCTGCTACTCTTTCTTGTCGTTTATCTGTTTTAACCTAATAACCTTATGGTTAATAATAATCTTATCTAACGTCTTAGCAAAGATTATGTGGTACACATCCTTTTTTTTGAGTATATTATTATAAAAAGATTTCTTAAATCAACACATTCAAATATATCCATTATTACTAAGTAGGTTTAAAAATATTGTTTTTATGCCTCAAACGTATTTAAGTACCGAAAAAAAGTTAAGGAAGTGTTAAGAGCTCTTTCTAGATGAGTTTATTAATTTATTGTTTTTTTTTCATGTTTTTTGTACTTTTTCTTAATAATAATTAGTGCATTAAAAATGCTCTGCTTTCAGTAAAATTAGTAATAATTTTTTATATGTAAATATAAACACTTATGCATCGTATTCGAAATATGAAATTTAACAACCGTCACAGAAGTCATCAACTAGATTTTAATTTTCTAAAATACACATTTTCTTTTTTCTTTAGAGTGAGGTTTCATCTAACTTCACGTACAAAAGCTAGAATAAACCAATTCTAACCGCAATTATCCTATATTTGAATATTGTGAAAACTTCCAATTAAAAACTGAAGTTCAGTGCAAAAGTCAGAGCTTCTAATATGCGCATGTGACATAAAATCTGCTTAACCAAAATTCAAAAACAAACTTTTCGAATTGCATAACAGCAAACCCAAAATATAAACTCATTTCAAAAGTTAAATTGTCAACTAAAGCGCACAAAAGTAGTCAATTAAATGAAAACTGCAATATTTGTGGAAAATATCTACCATTCTGAACTTAATTACAGTAATCCACATACACATTTCACACTTTCCCAGCTGTTGAACTTTAAAGTGTCAGCACAGGAAGTCAGAACGAAACACAACATCAAGACTAAAGACCGAAGTGCCCTTACAAGAACATACAGCCAACCAAAATAATGAAAAGTTCAAACTCGAAATGGTAACCCTCAAGAGCTCTGAAAACATTAAAATCTATTCGCATGGAAGTGTTCATACACGAGTCAAATATGCGTAATGGGGAGAAGAGTGTAAGAAGAGTGAAAGAGGAAAGGATTGTGTTAATACTTACTTAGTATTGTTCAACGCAGTTCTAAGTTGCATGGAAAAAATTTAATTTAAGAAATTTTGCTGAAAAACTTGGTCAGTGCGGTTCTGCTGCATATTATCAACACAAATGCAAAAGAAAACTAAATATTATATTCTTTAAATTTATTATAAAATTCAGAAAATGCACTAAATATTGGTTATATATTAAATTTATTTGTTAAAATTATAAATTTTTTATTTTATTACATCCTTTTGAATATCATCTTACATTTCATTATTTTCTTCTTATGTTTTCTTTAGCAGTCGCGTCGTCAATCGGTGAATTTCACCGCTATGCCACCGGGAGTTCTAGTCAACGACAGTCGTTCCAATTCCACAGACGATATACAAATTGCTTTGGCACCACACATACAAACCTACCTAAGTCAAACGGGCCGTAGACATTCCTGTTGCAGCGTCATGTTACCAGTGGCATTTGAACGTGCATCAAAATCGTGGTTGGATCCAAAATTTGATTCGGCAGTGCTGGAGGAACAATTTCAGACAAATGTGTTTCCACATGTGCGCATGAGATATAGGTAATTCCATGAAAATCAAATAAAAACATTTACCGAAATACTTAACTAAATTGAATTTACATAAAACCATGCATAACTTAAATTACTCTTTGTGCACGCTCTGGTGCACCCGTGCGTATGAGTGATTTCAGCAAGCATTGTCAAAAACCAAGCAATTTTGTTCAGGTGCAAAACAATTAAAAGCCAAAGTGCAAGGTTAATGTTTAATCAGATAATTCTCTATTTAGTTATGTATTATGAAAATTTCGCTTATTATTAAGGGGCTTAGGCTTAGTATACTTTGCCAAACGACAAACTCAATTAGTAAAAATTACACGTAAATAATAAAATTAGTATTAATTTGTGCGCAGCATGCTCCTATACGCACTGACATTAAAGCATAACTTCTCCAGGAATTATGCTCACATTAACATAAATTACTGTTAATGTCTTTAACATGCCCATGCACACATAATCACATAATGAAAAACATAACTTTTCCGGGTAACCCGGTTCGGTTCGGTTTCCTAATCAAATGGCTTTGGTTAGTGAAAACTTGTTACCGAGTTACGTACAGTGAGCGAATTTAAATGGAAAAAGTATTTTGGTATATACTTCTTCTTCTAATATTTTACGGATAGTTTTGTTAGAAAATAATATAATTATATGCCTCACATTTTATCATCAAAAATTGCATAAAATTCTTGCATATAAAAAAGGATGCGTGCATTGCTTCTATGTACATTTCCAACTGCCTATTGAGGAATTCTACTAACAGTTCTACTAGTAGAACTAATGTAGAAAAAATTCCTTCCATTGTATGTCATGTACAGAAGCTTTGCGTGTAATTTCTTAGCGGCATTTTTATGTGCCCGAAGTCCTTGCTAAATATTTTACTGCATAATAAAATGTATTATTTGTGATAGTTGTTTAGCTGGAGACATGTTGGTTTAAGTTATATTAGGCTTTGACATGCAACTAAAATTAAGCAATTTTGCTTACAGTACAAATATCCTTCGAAATGTTCACAGCTTTAATCATTAAACCAATTTATGTAAGTGTCCTTGAGCGATTTAAATAATCGAAAACTATTGTAATATTTCGATTTTCTTTCCGTGAATTCTATACATTATAACAGATGATAGATAAATAGATAAAATTATAACTGTTTCTATAAGTGAATTCTGTACATTTCAACACAAGATAGATAAATAGATAGATAGATAGATAAAATTATAATTGTTTCAATAAGTGAATTCTGTACATATTAACACATGATAGATAAATAGATAGATAAATAAAATTATAATTGTTTCTATAAGTGAATTCCAAACATTTTAACAGATGATAGATAAATAGATAGACAGATAGATAGAAGTATCTAAGTAATAGATAGAAGTATCTATTATTTCTTTATTATTGAATTTCAAAATTTTAACATGAGTAAGTATTATGCCTTAAATCTAAAAATATTGGTTAGAGTTACTTAAAATTATATTGAAAAATAAAGAATACGACACTGACTTGATAGTCGTCTGTCGGACATTTTTAAAATTAAAATTAATTCAAATTAAATAATAAAGAAGTATCTATCATTTTAACAGATGATGTGACTAGAAATCATTATTTCTTATTCAATTTTTCTAAGAGATAAATATATAAAAGTAAATATAAAGAATTTTTCCTAACAAACTACCACAAATGTGAGAGACGAGTTGCATTTGCATTACTTACTGAGATATAAAAATGGACCCAAAATAAGTTCTTGGATTGTATTCCATAGTCCACTAGTAGAAGTTTACAACTAGTTTACAAAAAAAATTCCTAAAAATTATGGATCTTAGCCTTATCAATCTTAAATTTCATGCATGGTCCTATGGTCCAGTGCCCTGTGAAGACAGATAATATAAGAAGATACAATAAGAAAAAAATTTGTTTAGAGGTATCATTTTTAAGGTGTTAAACTTTGTTCGTGATATTAGACTAAAGTATCTTGTATAAAAACCTGATGATATACATATCTTAAATAAGAAAATTACCTTTAACTCAAATCTTGTATCTCTACGGACTCATCAGGTCATTGCGTGATGTCTGGCAACCACTTTCCAACTTAACTAACTATTTACCTCTAGAGGTTTTGCATTTGCCAACCAGAAGATTATGTTTATGGTATAGCTGTACTAAGGCTACGCCTTTTAATTGATCTTTAATTGACATTAAAAAGCTTGATGGAAAGCGATAGTTGCTGCTTATGGCACGTCTATGCTATATGTATTCTATATGTATTATTATGTGGTTCTGTTTATAGCATCTCACTGCTGAGAGTAACACCCTTTATTGTAAAGTCTATTGTAATATCTGATGTCTATTAGAGACTATAGTAAGATAATATTAAAAAATTAAGAGAATAAAAAGCTATTTACCTCTAGAGGGTCTGCATTTGCTAAGCAGAAGGTAATGGTTATGGTATGGCTGTACTAAGGTTACGCCTTTTAATTGAACTGCATTAAAAAGCTTGATGGAAAGCAATAGTTGCTGCTTATGGCACGTCTAAGTCCCTTTATTGCACTCTATTAGAAAACGTGCTGAAAAGCAAAAGTTGCTGCTTATGGTATCTTACTGCTGAGAGTAACATCCTTTATTGCAAAGTCTCTATTGTAATATCTGGTGTCAATTAGAGACTATAGTAAGATAAGATTAAAAAATTAAAAGAGTCACTTTAAGTCACGGACCCTTAAGTATGTCTCTGATTTGCTACTGTTTATCTATTGATTGGATTGATTGAATTGATTGGCCATAAAGCCCTTGACCTGACTGCTAAGGCAGTATGGATCCACTCACTATTTGGCTGTCGCAATGTGCAATTGTATAGTAGAACCAAACAAAAATTATATAAAATTTTATTACTTATTATTTAAGTTGTAGAACCAAGTATATTTGAACTATTGGCACCAAAATGAAAAACTGCAATTATCGTAAAGAATAAAAATTATGAATTACCAACAATTATTATATGACAAGAAAAAGAGCTATTACTTTTATAATTTTGATTCGTCTCTCAAAGGGCGCCTTGTACTAAGGATATTCAATAATATTTACGTTTACATATTTTGGTTGGAGCTTTTTAAATTATGCGTACCAACGCAATATCCTTTAAAAAAAAAAAAAAATTGCGACAAAATGACTGCGCATATTTAAAGTAAATTTGGTTGTGTTAACGAGTTTATTTTCGCAAAAGACAAATAAATTTTTATGTACGACATTATGTAGTCCTTTGTAGAGGACTACCTGGATATGTTTGTACAACGTAATAAAATAAATACAAAATAAAAAATATGTGTTTTAGTATATAATATTGCAAATGACACGACACCTGAGTACACAAATGAGTCGTCAGTTTTGTAGCATTTGAGAGTATTATATGCCTTTTGTTTGAATTTTAATAGGATATGAAAGGAAAATAAATATCAGAAGGTTATGTAAGTTTATTTAAAAATAATAAAAATATACAATATACTTAATAAAATAAAGCAACTGAAGAAGGTGCTCTATTTAGAAATTTTATATATGAATAAACACAATTTACAAATATTAAATAAAATTAAATTTGATTTTAACGTTAATATGACAGAAGTGACTATTTTTACTTCAACAGAAACTGTGATATTTGATAGAGAAGTTTCGAACAGTAATGAGCTACAAGAACAAAAATTATTTTTGGATTATTTTCAATAATTGAATTTTTGACTGACCGTACAGCTGTTTCGAGCATTGCCAAATACCCATCATCAGTGGTCTTGGAAATAATTCTGACTCTGACTCTAAGCTTCGAATTTGGACAGGGCACGAGTTCGATTCCTTGTACTTGCAGTCTCAAAAAAAAAAATTATTTGCGAATCATAAAATACAAAAATTATAAAGTACAAGACCATTGATGATGGGCCATACAGCTCGAAACCAAAAATCAGCCAAAAATTCAATTAGTTAAAATAATTTAAAAATAATTTTTGTTGTTGTAACTCACTATTGTTCGAAACTTCATGCCGTATGAGTAACGCAAATAAAAAAGTATGCACTGTTTATAATTATAGTATGTATGTGTTTAAATTCTTTATTTTGATTATTTTTATTTATAATTTAATCACTCGGAATATTGTTTTTTCTTTTTTGTTGTCTGGAACAATAAACATATCGAAATTTATGTAGTTGTTATTTAATAAAATTAATATAGAGTACATAAGCTTTATTTTGCGGGGAACATTTTTATAAGCTTTTGGATCAGATCTTTTGATATAAAAACATTCAATAAACTTATGATTTAATTGTTATGGCAATAAAAATATTTTATAGATACATATACTACAAGTTCTTCCAAATATTTAAATGTTGTACATTTAAATCACGTTTGTAATATATAATATATTGCCTTGATTTTTCAGTTTGAATGTATCATATTCTGAGGCGCCGTAACCACAATTGGTACTCGGCGTACTATTAATTTTTTAAGAAAAAAATTTAGTGAAAAAAACATATTAATAGTGTAATATGCTATATAAACTATACTTATCGTGAGGAATATTTGATGACCTTCCGCGAGTTTCACGCAGATCATAGCAGACTTGCTAGCTGCCTTTCCCTTTTTTCTTTTCTTAATCAATTATAAATAATTTATTTTGCTGCTTTGTTATGCCACTGGCTATATTTGTGATAGTTGAATTCATTTAAATCTTAAATGTTCACTTCGTTGCTCATCGATTTTTTCCCTTACGTGTCTTACAGTATTGCTGGAAACTAACTTACATCGTTGGTCATTATAGCCGTGATTTGTCGTTGACAGTACCCAGTAGTCGCCAGTCTTCTACCGAATATGCGAAGTTCCTCTACTGTGTCTTCCACCAGCCAGATGGATACCGAATGGAACACTTTTCAAGAATTGTCATGCACTTAACTATGTAATGTCATGATATACTATAGCTTATATAGCCAATCGTTTCATCTAATTCGATATACGTGGACAACGCGTAAGAGACCATAGATCTTCCGAAGAATTTTTCTTTCAAATGCTCCTAATGCCTTCTCATCACTGTTGGTAATTCTCCAAGCTTCTGCACCATACAGCAGCACAGTTATAACAAGATGTAGGGCGTGATTTTTGCTTGTCTAGAGAAAGCTTTATTTCTCAATTGCCTACTTAGCTTAAAATAGCATCTGTTAGCAAGAGTAATTCTTCAGTGAATCTCTACGCTGACGTTATTGCTTCAAACTAAAGAAGCATTGCTACAACTAGGAAGGTGATCAAATTATGAACATCGTTTTTGTGATTTTCTATCTCTTCTAGTACAAAGATGATTCATCGACAGATCTCATACGCATCTATATATAATTAGGAACTTCTCTACAAAATACACACATTCTAGCCTTCATTTTAATTGCTTTTTGTTCAGCTATTAACCATTGCAGTACAAAAAATCTTTCAATATGGATCTGTTCTGTTCCAACAAGAACCCAAATTCCATTGTTTTCTATTCTATTCTCCAGCAATATCACAATTAGACAATAAATTCTAATAAATAAACTTTTCTCTTAATTCCATAAATATATTAAAGAAATGAAAATATTTCATTTATGGAAAATTATATACGAGTACTAATTTATACTAATTTTAAATTTCCTTCGTTTAAATTTTATTTAAAATGTTTATGTGTACTCATGGATATTAAAACGAAATTGGTTTTTACTACTTCAGATTAAAATCCACAACATCAAATAACCTAAAACTCTGCTTTATTATTTCCGTATCCCTAAAACTCACATTCCATTTCATGTATTTCCAACATAAATTATTTTTTAATTACGTGTCATGCAATTTCCATTGAAGCCGACATGGTTCCACTCATAATACCACCACACACGTTCATTTGGCTTAAGAGTATCAGAACCACCCACTCAATTCACTTTGGAGTATACCGCAACAATTAACACAAACAATTAGTCAAAGACCGTACCACGGAAAATCTTCAACTTTTTCAACCTTTTAAAGCCCGGTGACGACAGCGATGACTCCGTAATGACCACAAATATTTTACGTTAAAGAGCATTCGCAGGAAATTGTTTGGAAATAATTCGTTTTTAAATACCTGAACATTTTTCCTACATGGCAAAAGTCGTGGGTGTGAGCAGAGATAAAAATGTCATTAAAATTAGTATTATATCTGTTTTACTCTGGACTCACAAAGTGCTTGAATATGCTAATTTATACATATTTCAATAAATCCTTATATTACAAGCAAAAAGCAGTTCATAAAAAAGTGGCTGCAAATTTAAATTATTTTAATTTTTCATAAAACCAACTCAACTTAACAGAAAAAGTATTAGTTATAAAAAAATTAAAAAATAATATATTTTGTTAATTTTTTTTTGTCGAATGTGACGTGTCTTATCACAAAAAGACACTAGAAGGGTTCGAACAGTAATGAAGAGGCAACAACAAAAATTTGATTACTGTATTGAAATTTGGCTGACCATACAATGCTGTTTCGAGTATTGCCAAGTACTCAACATCAGTGATATTAGAAAATATTCGAATTCTTATTTAATTAGTTCATAGTCCGTATATAAAATTATTGTTGTTGCTTCTTCATTACTATTCGAAACTTTCTAATTAATATATTTTATTAGCCAATTATAATACATAAATTATCATAGCACAAATACTAGTCTCTAAAATATCTTCGTAATTTCAAAGTATTAATATTTACATTTTTTTATCTGCATACAATCAATATATATAATATCTTATATCTATATATAGATATATAATATCTACAAAATTTCAATATTCACCAAAACTAATTTTTGAATATTTTCACTTCATAGGTTCTCACTTTACTACATATTGCTTTGTTCCTGCGCTTGGTTCCTTTACTTTCTGATCGAAGGCGGCTCAGAAGAGTATTGGCGTCCGATTTCCAGTTCTTTTTCCATGTTAGCACTCATATCAATTATGGCACTGTGCTTTACGCAATGGAATATTTATCGCTCATATCGCATAGTAACGTCGGCAGTAACAGCTTTCGTGTTATGTGCCGCTTCTCTAGTGTTTCTGACCTATACAGGACGCGCATTTAGCCCATTGGGACACTTTGCTATTTGTCTTGAAATACTTTTACTCATTTACACGGCACTTCCAATGCGTTTATGGCTGTGTTCACTCATAGCTATAACATATTCAGTGTTATTCGAGTCAGCTGCTATTTTGGTAGGCAGCACCGCATTGCATGGAAACACATCGGAGTTTTGCTACAAAATACTTACACTCCGTATACTGCTCCATATAAGCGTACATTTAGTAGGTCTGCATGTTATGATTATGAATATTGTACGTATGCGTGGCACTTTCATGAAAATTGGTCAGAATTTATTGGTACGTCGACAGCTAGAAATGGAAAAGCAATTAAAAGAGAAAATGATACACTCAGTTATGCCACCGAAAGTAGCCGATATGCTGTTACATGAAGGTAATAGAGATTCAGCTGATGGTGCCATGAAACCGGAATCACATTATATGCGACCTCGTCCCTCTAATGATGTCAAATCGCTATTTCGTCCATTTCACATGCACAGCATGGATAATGTGAGCATACTCTTTGCTGATATTGTGGGCTTTACTCGCATGTCCTCAACCAAAACAGCCGAACAATTAGTGGAAATACTTAATGATCTCTTCGAGAGATTTGATGATCTTTGTACTTTCAACGGCTGTGAAAAAATATCAACTTTGGGTGATTGTTACTATTGTGTTTCTGGTTGTCCAGAGCCAAGGCCTGATCATGCCATTTGCTGTGTAGAAATGGGCTTGGGCATGATAGACGCTATGCGATGTTTCGATGCGCAACGGCATGAGGGTGTCAAAATGCGCGTAGGTGTGCATACTGGCACTGTTCTTTGTGGAATTGTAGGTACGAGAAGAGTAAAATTTGATGTCTGGAGCAATGATGTTTCATTAGCTAATAAGTTAGTATAAAAAATAAGCAGAATTTCAATAATTATTCATAATATTGTTTGATTTTAGAATGGAATCAACTGGGAAACCAGAACAAGTACATATATCGGAAGAGACATCAAACTTTTTAGGGGAAGCGTACTATCTCGAGGAAGGTGAAGAAGTTTTCGGTAATAGCATATCTCTAATATTTATTTATGTATTTACTAATATAACAAATTTAAACCTATTTAGGTCATCGTACTTATTTTGTAGTTGGTCGTCGAAAAGATGTGTCAAGACAAAACAGCTTAAGTCCCAGCATACGCGCAGGAGATGGTAGTCATCTTATGTTACCTGAAGTACCTGGTCAACTAACATCACTTTCTCAAAGTGCCACAAATATTTCTGTAATACATCCCAATGTTCCTCCAGCTTCCCCAGTAGGACAACACTCATCGTCACTTAATCCTTCGCCAGTACTTTCCTTACGTCCAAGACTGACTTCATTAAGCATGAAAATGCGCAGAAAATCACACAGCCGTGAACGCGATCTGGAACGTGGTGTTACAGATCATACGGCAATCACAGAAATACCATCTGTGATTGTCGTGCGCGAAAGGCCAAAGATCATAATTACAACCAAAAGCTTACCTGGCAGCTTAGACTCAGAAGAACAAGACTTTGTAGTAGACGGCTGCTGCCGTACAAACAATTCAACGAATAAGGCTCGATCCGCAGAAGAAGAACCACGTCCGAAGATTAAGTTAAAGGTATGGAAAGTACCGCGTTTTCTTAAGAAAATCGAAGATATTGCCAAATCAGCTGAAAAGTCTACGAATACAGATGGAAATATTAACTTAATACATGGAAAGCCAGTGATTAAGACCGAAGAGACTGTTGCATTTATTGAACAAAACGGATACCAGCAATTACCAGTCGTAATTGAAACCACAAAATCAGGAGTTGGACATATGCTTGACATACCACAAAAACCCAGCTTAAACTCCTGTACAATTTCTCCTAATTTAGCCAAATCACCTGATGGTAGTTGTTGCTCACCTGGTCAATACTCCATGTTTGACGACATCATAGATGTTCGTTCATACATAAGTCAATCCCGCAGTGATATTTCACCATTTGGACGCTCTGGTAGTTACCGCTCTCAATGTGGCCGCAGTGGTAACTCAGAATCCTCACCTATACCACGTCCACGAGCTTCAACTTTAGCGACTGGTCGTACAGATGGCACCACAATGCAGCCTCTTATTGCAGCAAATAATATTACAGCAAATCTACCAACACACTCCCGCAATTCAAGTATTTGGCCGGATGGTTTGAGCATATGTCCCTCAGCCACATCCCGAAAAGATTCCGGTATCAAAAGCAACTCACGTCGTTCATCTATACAACAACAAATCTATGCACTCAACCAGTCCGCCATTAGTCAACATCGTGTTTCAGGTTATTTTACTAGCTCCACCTCAAGTATTTCAAATATTGGAGATACAAACTTGCCACATGTGCCACTCCCACCGATACCACAACCTACCCCGCAAGTAGCAGATCCTTTAGCAGCTTGTCTTCAACAGCTGCGCAAACAATCAGATTTGCAGCTCATACGCTGTGTGCGAGACAATGCAAAATCTCAGCACAGTTACTTAGTCAATCCACCGCTTAAACGCTTTAGTTTGTATTTTAGATCCAAGCAAATGGAAGATGACTTCCGTTCTAAAGCACACCGATTTGGTAGCGAGAATGAAACAGAGGGACCACCTACATTAGCTACACCGCGTTACAACACTTACATTGATATATTCGTAGGTATTGTTGTTTACCTCTGCATTTCCGTCTCGCTTTTCATGCTAACACCCAACACAGTTACGCCCAGTTTTCGTTTATGGGTCTCGTTGTTCACAGTTTTCACAGCTATACAAATTTTTGCGCTCTTTCTGTTTACTCGGCAGATGTGTCGCCGACATGGCGGCGGCCAAAGTCGCACTAAAGTGGCCAACTCAGAGACGTGCACAGATCGAATATTCGAAGCCATTTCAAGCTGGTACCCCTGGCATATATGTTTGGCAGTGTTGATGGCCATGCCAGTTATGCTAATCATCGCCAATTTCTTACTATTGGATCTCAATCAATTGGAAGCCTTCGAATATCATTATGGTTTCTTAATCTTTGTCTGCATTGTTCACTTCTGCAACTTCACACAACTAAACTGTTGGATGCGCAACATATTAGCACTTCTGGCAGCAATGAGTTTTGTGGGAATTGCAGTCTCACAATTGACAGTCTATTCTAACCGCATAGATACGCATCATAATGAAAACGTGAATATAACACATATGATATCGTTCGCAATGCATGGCGTTGACAGGAATATGAAAGAGGAAGTTAAATGGTTTCAGGATTATCACGTTGAAATTTATCTGGACTTACTACTTATACTCGTGCTTGTTTGGATCTTGAATCGGGAGTTTGAAATCGGTTACCGTCTGACTTTCTATGGCAATGCAGTGGCTAATCAGGATAAGGTGCGCGTACAGAATATGAAAAACCAAGCCGATTTACTGCTGCATAATATTATACCAAAGCATGTGGCGGAGCACTTAAAGAATACAGCCAAATACTCAGAGAATCATCATAATGTGGGCATTATATTTGCTTCTATAGTCAACTTCAATGAAATGTACGATGAAAGCTATTTAGGCGGTAAAGAGTTCCTACGTGTGCTGAACGAACTAATTGGTGATTTTGATGAACTGCTCTCCCGACCAGAATTTCGTTGTGTGGAGAAGATTAAGACAATCGGTTCAACTTTCATGGCTGCAAGTGGATTAGATCCTTCTAATCGAGGCGATGGCAATGAACACTTACATGCGATGATGGAGTTTGCAATTGGTATGCAGGGTGTTGTGGATGCGTTCAATAAAGATCTGCTGGAATTTAATTTAATTTTGCGAATCGGCATGAATGTTGGCGATTTAACAGCTGGTGTGATAGGCACAAGTAAATTGCACTACGACATATGGGGTGATGCAGTGAATGTGGCTTCACGAATGGATTCAACGGGTGTACCAAATCGTATACAAGTTGGAAAAGATTGCTTACAGTATTTAGAACCGAAATACGAATTTGAACCCCGAGGCAGTATTTACGTTAAGGGTAAAGACAATATGGAAGTGTTTTTGTTCACGCAACGAAAACCTGATTTGGTAGGCGATGAAGAATATATGGCACAAAATACAGAGAATAGCATAAACCAAAGTAAACCAACAACACCATTAACACCAACCGCTCAAATGGCCAATGGTCAAGTAAATGAGAAGGGCAGCTAAATTAGTACAAATGACTTATTTGATTAAATAATTTGAGTCCTATTGCTGACTGAGGCAAAGATGATTTCATATGATTAGCTCATCCTTTGAAGCATTAGTTATTAAATAATTTATGCAAAAATTATGAATTTGAAAGATCTTAGCAGGTCTCTAAAGAATAATAGAAGAAACCAAATTTAATAGACGAAATACACAACTTCTATCTGTTTAGATTATTATAGTAAACGTCTCTTTTGAGCAGTGTTTGGTTACAGCTGATCTAGAAGTAACTTATGCAGTTATTATTATTTATTCTATAGTATATTTGGAACAATTTGTTTAGGATTTTTTTACATAAGTAAATGTGATTAATTATAAAATTAATTTCGAAAAAATTTGACATTCACATTACAAAGCATTTTTGATATACATCAACATATTCATTATATTATATATAATGTAACATTACACTTACAATGCATATTATTATAAGTCGATCTGTTTGCTATAATTTTATTTTAAATTAAAATGTTATCATATTATTGTGTCTTAAATTTGAAGTCACTATACTTAAAGTGAAACGACTAATAATGCAAGGAATTATATTTCAAGGAAATAAACAATATATTACAAAAATTTTTTTTTTTCATAATTAAGTTTTAATTTAAAAAAGTAAAAATTTTAAGAGAATTTTCAAATCTTGTATAAAATATTTCTTTTGTAAATATGTACATATCTTCTTTCGTTTTAAGTTAATATATAATTATTTACTTCTAAATTTATTTGAATTTTTATACGAAACGCAACGATATGTTTATTATTAAATTAATTAAACTTAATAATATTAAAATATTTCTTTTTTATTTACTATGTGCACCAAAAAATATTATATTAATAATATTTATGTAGGAAATATTTCGCTGAATTAACTGTAACAGAGAGTACTTACTTATTTGATTTAATTAAGTTTATTTAGTTTTGTTCTATTCTACTAATTTTAAGTAGAGTTGTAGAGTTTCTATTTTTTTTTTTAAAGTATGTTTTTTAAAACAAATAAATTATTTGCCATAATGCTTGAATCTCACTAATGTGAAAACTGGTATTAATAAATGGAATTACTAGATAAGTTTATTTCCCGCAAATAGCTCAAATGCCCTATACATTATTTGTATTTTTTATGATTTCAATTCCCTTTATGCTCCCAATACTTATTATGAAATATATTGATTAATTAAAATACAAAATTGAAGAGGCTATGTTCTAATAATTGGCAATAAAAATAAACTCTACAATGGTATGGAAAGCAAATGGTTTACTTGAGATGGTGGAGCAAGAGAGAAACTTTTATCCGATTTATATCCCATCCATTATCATATATGCTTTGAACTTTTATAACAATAGTAATAATAAAATGATATTTTCTTTAGTTTAGAAAGTTGTTAGAAATTTTTAATATATAATTTCAATATTTTCTTAGAGTACATGGACATAATGTTAATTTAAACATAAAAAGAAATCAAAGCATCTGAAGCAACAATCACGAAATAGCTGAAGGAACATACATATTGTTTTTATTATTATAGTTTTTGTAACCCAGCCTGGAAATCGGAATACTTCTACTAAATCGCAATATATATTAATATTCCCATTTATCCTTTCTCTAGCTATACCTTATTCCCTTTCACTCTTCCTAACCTTTTCTATGGTATGCTGGCTAGAAGAGCATTCCCGTTTATCCTTTCTCCTTTTCCATGGTATGCTGATTTGAAGAGCAAGTCAGTGTGGGTTGGACTCTGCTCCACTATTTTAACGTTTATTGTAACTTGTAGGGGAATTTCAATGTCTTTTGGTCATTTGAAAAAACAAGTAACCCCAAAAAGTACACTCAATCTTTTCTAGAACCAAGTTATATACATTACTGACACTCATGAATTTTAGTTTTCTTTGGAAAGAATTTTTAGTATTTTGAAAAAGCCAAATAGCTCTATATCCATATGCGAAATGTTACTAGGTTTCTTAAGTACAATTTGTGTATTAATCACTGAAAATACATTTTTTAACAAATGAATATAATATCAATTTAATACATATATATAGTATTCTGATCAGTGAATCTGTAGTTTAGAAATCATTTATATTTTCTTTCCATACCTAGAAATAAAATCATAAAACGGAACAAATCAAGACAAGCTTCTTAATTCGAAATTAAACTAAAGTATATTAATATAACTTAAAAAGAAATTTTAAGTAAATATATATATATATATATATATGAAAACTTGTTAGTGTTTTAAAGAAAAATAAATACAGTTTTAAAAGTTTAAAATGCAAAGTAATATATTGTAAAAAAAATTTATTCCCAATATATTTGCCTTGAAAACTTTTAGAACTACACCTATTAATGGCTCATATTAATTACGAAAAGAAAAAAAATAAATAAATTCAATTCAATTCATATATCAAATGAATTAACAAAATGTATTGATTGTCGATATTGCTGGAAATGATGTGATAGATTTTTAAAATAGTATAGAATATATAAAGATGTTAATATATAAAGATAGAAGTGAGCTGCGTTAGGCTTGAAATTGAAAAATAAACAAAAGTGTCAAGTTGTAGGCTCATATGGGCGAAGTATACGCATTTAAGGTATAGTCATATATAACTAACTACAAATATTTATATAACACAGTTGAAAAAATATTATATATAAATGTTGCTTTAAATGTTTTCTTTTCCAATTATATTAAATAATAAATATATATAATACAAAAAAAAAAATAATAATTATTTATACGTTTTTACATATTGTACGCAACAAAATTTTTTTACAAATTTTAAAAATAATTAATGTTTCTAACATAAACATAAATGAAATGATGAAAACAATTAATTATAATTAACATATAAATTAAATTAAAAATATGCATAGAAGCATAAAAGACAATTTTTTATGCTTTTTTAAAAAACATAGTCAATACAAAGTTGTAAGAATATATGTACTTAATTAAAAAGCACTTAAATTATTTTTAGAATCAAAGATTATAATTATTAATTTTAATTGCAAAGAATGATATTCTTGTCACATTTCATTACAAAGACCAATCTTCAAGTTTTTTGAAATATATTTAACTTGCCAAATTTTTTTACTTGACAAATCTCTAAATTGTAAATCTAAATTTTTTACTTATAGAAAAGTAAAAAATTAAAATTATATATCCTATGATAAGAAAGCTATTTTCAAATAGAAAAGTGGGTAATATTAACAGTATTTTTAAATTAAAAAATTTAATTTTTGATCAAATGATTTTTTGGACTCACTTTCAGTCTCAACGGGAGCATAAGTGGCGTTCGGGAGACGAGAAAAAACGTGTATAATTATAATATATAGAATGTACTTAGCTTAGACACCCTTGACACCCTTCTACAAGTGGTGCCTGGGATATGATCGAGCCCTTGCTCCCATTTGCTTAACTATTGTTCACGATACCGCTGTGCATGAACCAAATATCTAATATTCTATTTGGCGGTATATGAAAGAATTGTTTTTAAAACTTCAACTATTAAAAATTAAATATTTGATTTGATAAAAAAATAAAATACTTAAAATATTAAATTGATTGTATAAACTGCTTCCAATACAATTCCGAACACTACCTAAGAATTTGAATTTTTTTTATATTAATTCTCAGCTTTTTGTAACTTATATTTTTAGAAATTTTATATAACAAAAGAAAAAGAAAAACAAAAAAAGAAAACAAAATATAACGACAATGTCATTTAAATACTGAAATCATAGACTTTAAAAAAATATTTTGTAATTATTCACATTGTTTTAGTGTAAACTGACTTATTTTCTATTAAAAAGTAGAATAAGTAAAATTTTATTTAAAAACTATTAAATTGCAGATATTCAGTGTTAACTATGTATATTATTTAAACAATACTATTAAGAAATATTTTTAATTAGTCTGAACACACAATCCACAAACTTTGAGATACTTTATATATATTTTTACAAAATTTTATGAAACTAAAAACCGCACCTATTAAATTTTAAGAAAAAATAATAAAATTATTAAATTAACTTATTTATATGAATAAACTACAAACATTTTTAAATATATATATTTCTATAGATATATATAAATCTATGTATGTATTTGTTAAAATATATAGAAAATTTTATCAAACTGTATTTGTATAGTAAGAGATGATATATTAGCGTATTTATGGCACAAATAAAAAATTTAAATTATTATTACAGCCAAATTGTTTTAATTGTTTTCTTATAATAGTTAAAATTCCCTTTTAGCTTTGCTAAGAATCTTGTACATTTTTGTTAATATATTATATATATTATTTTAAGAGAATTTTGTAAATTATTTTATATAAACTATTACTTAATAATACACATATTAATTAACAAATAATAATAAAAAAAGATTTTATAAAAGTTTAAAACGAATGTACATATAAACAAACTGTATGTACATTTCATTATTTTTATAATTTACTGTCAACCTTAAAATAAATATTATTTTTATTAAAACTTATGTACTAAAACCAAATAAAATATGAAATATATAAAATGCATGCTCTAAATGTCATTAAACAGAAAATTGTTGTTTTATTTCATTACAGTTGAGGAGTTCTGATTTAAATTTTAAAAATGTAATCATTTTATAAAATTTCAGAAGCTTAAAAACTTTGTTTTTATAATATATAATATTCTATATATAATCATTGAATTTTCTTCAAGCTAATCCATATATATATAAATACAATAAGTAAATTAATTTAAAATTAACTTCATTTAAGATATTAACTTCATATTAAGAATTGTCCTAATGAAGGCAAAAGCGAATTTGCCGTAATACGTTTAGAAAAAATAATAAAATAAAATTAATAATAAATTAATAAATAATAATAATAAATTTAATTAACTTCACATTATAATTTATAAATACTTACATTTAATAAATATTATTATTGAATAAGTTGAAGAAAAAAAATGATTAAATTTAAATTACGCGAATCCAAGTATGTACTAAATTTAATTAAGTACAGCTTAAAAAATAAATGTACAATACTTTACGGTTTTAGTATTATTATTCAATTAGTATTGTTATTATAAAATGAAATAAATATTTATAATAAATCCTCGTAAGCATTTATATATAAAATATAAATAATAATCATATATAAATACACTACATAATAATTAATAATTAACAAGTTAGAAGTTAGTTCATAGCTATATACTCACAGTCCTTGCCGTATATGGGACGTGGATATGGATAGTTTATGCCTCACGGAAGGCGTGTCTTTCATTCCTAGACATTTCAGATTTTATTAAAATACTAAGGTGATCTTGAAGAAGACTCTGATTCGGTATAAAGAGCAGTTATTATGTTACACGTCGATACTGAACTTCGTTAATATTATTTCCGTTAGAATAGATATCGATGTATTTATGTTAAAAAGAAAAGCTTCGTCTTAAGCAATTCATATGGAGGGTTTTACCGATCGCGACGCTATTAACATGATCATTTGTATTATATGCAAAATGAAATTGCTTTGATAGCAGATAAATTTGTTCTGTCCCATTTCGCAATATTCGACAGCTGCCAGTCGTGATACTAAGTTTTGACATGATTGGATGTGGTTCTATAATAATCTTTCCGAAATAATGTTTCCAATTAGTTTGTATATAGCTCTTAGCACCAAATTGCTAAATCTTAACCGATTCCATAACTTAATAGCATGAACGGAATACATGACGATTTGACACCCAGAATTTTGGGTTCAAAAATTGTAAAGTTTTTGAATTTACTGATAGCAATGGGCACAGTAATGGAGACCTCTTAAAGTAAAAGTTAAAATAGTGGGCAAAGAAATGTGCATCAAAATAATTTTCATTATAGGAACATATAGTTAATTATTTTCAAAGCTTTTAACTTAATGTTTTTATCAACACTCCAAAGTAATTTGTGAAATAAGATTACTATTATAGTGCATTTCTATGCCACACTGGAATTAAAAGATGGCAGATGAGATTCTAACAAAATTATAACTTTGGAAGAAATATATATGTAAAGGATTCCGCTCTAAAATCACTTATTTTATTGTGTAAATAAATCTTCAATATTTTAATAAAAATTAAACTACAATAATTACAATTTTTTTTTTGTAATTTTTTATTAATTTTTATTTGAAGTAGTAGTGTACATATGTATATATAATATTTTATATTATATAATTATTTATGCAAAATACATTTAATACAAGTATTATATATAATATAATGTGCTTAAATATGTTTATACAAATTATACTTAGTAAATAAATATTTAGAAATTTATAGATAATCACAATTATTTTCGTTTTAGTATCTGAATTTTTAATTTTTGAGAAATAAACCAATTTATTTACAGTTAATAAAACAACACAAATATAAGAAAATTATATTGAAAGCAACAAAATAATTAATTAACAAAAGAAAAACGAATTACAAGAACAAATAATAAATTCACGAATATATTTTACAACGAAAAAAAAAGACAGTATTTAAAATTAAATAGCACATTTAAATTTTAGTTAAAAGTTTAAAAATAAAATTATACATTAAATTCACAATAATCATGAGTCACTTAGAATATCTTTTAATATCGTACTAGAATTTCGATTTGGTTGAAATTCATCTAAAATTGTTGAATTTAATTGTATAGGTTGTATGGGTATTGGTGCAGGTGTGGTGCCACTTTTACTTGAGGTAGAGGTGCGACGAGTGGCTTCTTGAGACGACGCACCTGATATATTTGACGCATGTTGCGCTTGTGTTATATTTAATAAATTGGGTAAGTTATTTTGATTAGCTCTGGGTTGAGACTCCTTTTCTAGAAACTGTACAAAAGCCTCTACTAAATTTTCATTGGAATGTGTACCTCCTAAAATATATAAAATATTTTTTATTTTTTTTATAATCATTTAACACAATTTAAATACACAATTTACCTGGTTGATTACTGCCACCGCCTAATATAGAACCAAGCCAACTGGATTGCTGTTTATTAAGACCAACTTTATCTGATTCATTTTGTGTAAAGTTTAGAACGGAAGAAATCATACGCAGAACTTGATTCTTATCATTTGGATTAGCGCTGACCACATATCCAATAAGTAAGCTTTTAATGAGACTCTTTTCGATCTTATCCGTTTGCCCCGATTCACTTTGGTTAAGCTTTTGTTCCAAAGCTAGTTTTTGTTGATTTATTATTTCGACTGTGTAAATAAGAAATAATTATATTTGTTTTTATTATCAAGTCTATATGATGTTGAATCAGTTGCTTATCATATAAAAACATGTTAAACAATTTATAATTAATCAACATAACACGGTTGCAGCACTTTTTTAAATTTAACTTAGTTATTGAAATTAATATTATTATTTGGCATCTTACTGATGGCATTCCAACGTTGTTGATGCAGCATTGCAACATGCAGGGTTATACGTTGCATTTAGATAAGTATGACATAAGTACTGGTAATAGGAAAAAAAAACCAGTACCTGATGTAATACTCAGCCAGATGCACGCAGTTAATGCATATGCAGTAAATGGTGCTATATGAATTGGTTTCAGTGGTTGGGTTTTATACAGGAGTGTTTGCAATTTTGTTCAATATTTTTATTTTATTCTTCAACGATCGACATGCACTAACTTTTAAAAAATTTAAAGTATTTTTTTTTTAATTTAATATTTATTTAATACTAAAAATATTAAAAAAAGCTAATTAAACTAAACACATTTTATCAAAATGAAGTAGAAATTATTTCAAATATCCAAACAAAAAAAACCAAAATAATAATAAACAATTTTGAATATGGATATATAGGAAAAAAAATTATTAATTACATAAATATATCAAACTAGGACAAAAACTGAAGCTCAAGAAGAAATTATATTGACTAAGAAATTATAACAAAAATGTAGAAAGAGATACAATCTCGGGCAATCTCCAGATGTAACGTGAGTGGCCGTTATCAAATACGCTCGCGTTAACAAATTGAGATTACCCAATTTCGCATCAAGCACGAAATTAATAATAATAAATAAAAACTTCAATTAAATTAAATAAAAATTACAAAATATATCAACAATATACTAAATAATTATCATACAAAATGGTTCTATAAACAATACATTTAAGCAAGCAAATAGAATAAAAAAGCATAGACATACGTGGAAATTAATATATATATATACAATAAGTTGAAAAATATTTGTATACATTTAATAAATATTAATAAATAATATTTGTTAAATATTAAATTTTTAATTTTATTGACAGTAGAAACATATTATATATATTATTTAAGAAAGTATAAAAGCTATGTACAACTAAAAACATTGAAGTTAATTGAAGTGAAAAGTAATTAGTGCTCTTTAGTTGATACACAGAATGAAGCAGTGGCATCTATTATATGATTATAAAATATCTTTAATTAAGCATTGAAAGCAAATGTTACCACTACCTTTTATTAATAGTTATTAGCAGTGATAAAATTATTTATCGAAATTATATTTTATCGACTGAAAATCATTCTGAAGAAATACACATAACAGGATTATATACTCGTAATGAAGACATAAGTTCCAAAATGTCTACTGAAAAGACTTGATGTATAAAAGAGGATTTTACAATATACCTACATGCCGAATTGACAGAACTATATTTATCGTTTTTTAACTACATGTATTAATTAATGGGTTTGTTGGTCTCTTATATGTGAGACATAAATAAAATAGTCCTTAAATACAGTTCTATGAAATACAGTTCAATTATTTGTGAAGCAAAATTAATAACATTAAATAAATCTAATGGAATAATACGTATAAGTTATATGAAAAATTCTGATCAGTGGTATAAATAAAGAGAAAGAATATACATCTATAACTATGTAAAATACAATTAATACATACATATAATAAATGAAATAAAATTATAAATAATATGAATTACAAATAAATATTGCAAAAATTTTAAAACAGGTAATACACAAAACATCGATAAAAAATTAATTAAAATAAATTATACATAATAAGCAAATAACAAAATAAATAAGAAAATATATAGAACTAAAAAATGATTAAAATTATTTAAACAATATGAAGTAAATTATTTCAAATTACATAAACTAAGATAAAATATAAGCCAATAAATTATAAAAATATTTAATAAACAAAATAATAATTAACTATGAACCAGTTATATATAAAACTAAAAAATTCTGCGTTCACACGACACAAATAATCTTGATTACACTCTTTCACTTCGTAAGAGTAAAACGTCTACACTCTAGCTAGTGTAGACGTTGTAAAAACAGTTTTTTGTCATATTTAAATTCAAGTTAATTAAACTATAATATTATAAACCACAATAATAAGTATGTATAATTATTTTTTGGTTTATATAATCTAATTATTACAATATTTTATAATTTAATATAAATAATAACGATAATTTCATTAGTAATAATATTTTTTTATTACACATTTATTAAAAATTATTTTATTTATTATAATATATATTAAATATAATTATTACTTTAATAGTAATAATACTTTAAAATTATATTAAATATGAAATCATAGTTATTATAAAATATCTATATTTATAAAATAAAAATTTTGTTTTTTTTACGTGTTAATTAGTCTATAGTTCAATAATAAACTTTTTAAAAAAATTTTATTCGTTTTTAAAAAATTTTATTTTCACCGATAATTGTCTTGTAATCTATAGTCATCATCAGTGTACTATAGATGAGTATATATTATAGTCGAAATATCGGTTAAAATAAAATCTTTTAAAAACAAATAAAATTTTTTCAAAAAGTTTATTATTTAACTATTGACCAATTAGTCCGTAAAAAAAACAAAATTATTATTGAAAATTTTTGGTCATTAAAACAATAAACTATTAAAATAACAATTAAAATTATTTTTTGTATGAAAAATAAATTAATTATAAAAATGCAATTGTTTAAAAAAATTAAAAATAAATAAAAAAACATCAAAGCTATTTTTAATTAATGGTGCATATTAAAGTAATACAAAAAATGTTCAAAAACATATTAATTTTGTTTTCTTGTGAAAATAATTTAAAAAAAAATTTTTTTAAATATTTTTATTTATAATTTTTTTTTTTTAAATTAATGCCAATTTTGTTTTTTTGTTGTCTTTTGTGTTGATCAGATCACATCATAGTGTTTGTGTATTGGTAATGATGGCGGTTTCGGTGACGGTGACGGTGGCGGTGTATAAGTACAATTCAAAAAAGTGCATACCAACTGAAATTCCGAGTGCCTAACATGATCAGAATTACCAGTTGATATTTACCTTTAGGAATTAGTGTGGAAAGTAAGGTTATCAAATTTCATATTAAAAAATTTATTGCAAAAGTTTTTTATATTAATTTCAAACATAACGAAAGCATGCCGCGTGTCAAATGTTATGAACATAAATCTTAGCATTATCCAAACTGTTAGTAACGATTATTTATTTGTTATTTGTGATAAGTAAAAGTATTAAAAAAAACATTTTTTCAGTGTTAGTTAAAGTTAAAATTACAAATCAACGATTATAAACGATTAAAAAATATCTAAAATCTCAACAAACTTACCTTCTTCTCTCAAGGAGGCAATATTTTCTTTAGAAGATTCTAACTGATCAGATAGACGAGAAGCAGCAAGTAACCCCTCATTAGCTTCGGAAAGATTTTGGCTTAAATTAGATATTTCAACTTCAAGTTGTACTTTTTTCTCTGCTTCCCTCTGTAAGTCTTTGCGTAAACGTAAAGTTGCAGTTTTGATTTCGCTTTCCTTATCTGAAATGTTAATAAAATAAGACAATTAAAATTAAAAATATCGTCAATTATAGCGCTTATGGTGGTTAATTTGAACACGAAACTCACCATTTTGAAACTGCTCCAACGCACATTGTAGATTGCACAGCGCCGCTTGGTTTTTCAACTCTCTGTCTTCGGCTAAACTCAACTTCGCTACTAACTCATCACGTTGCTGTATCACCAAAGCGTACTGCGCCTGCAGTGTTTCAGCGTGTTGATTGGCTCGTATACTGAATCAATAATAAGGCAAATACAAAAAATAGAAATAAAAAAAAAATTTGGTGAAAAAATGGTAACAAAAAACAGAAACAATAAATATAAATAAAATAAATTTTATTACCAATTTGTGGTGGAATAAGCTAAGTGAGTGTGTTCTAATTTCGAAGCGGCGCAACTAATGCGCATTCGTTGCAGCAATTTTTCGACATTAAACGCTTTTTGTTCTATTTTTTTTTGTTTGGGTTTTTTATTTCTATGCCCCGCGTTGTTAGTTGTTGGTGTCGTGACAAAGCTTAACGAAAGGCTTAAAAATGATAAGGAAACAATAACAGCTACAACAACTACAACAACTACAGTAATAGCAAAACGTTATGTCTATTTATAAAAAAATTTATATAGTCGACAATATGGCGGCATACAATATTGGTAATGTCTCCATTTCGTTGGCCACCCACTTTGCGCCGCAGAATGCGAAGCTCGTTGTTTGCCGGTAATTAAGTGATAATTTAATTTAAAACATTTTTTTACACCTTTCTACAGGTGTGTATAATTTTTTAGTCACTTGTAGTTGTGAAGGTATGTCTTCATGTCTATGTGTGTGAGTAGAACTGTATTATTTATTCAACAGCATGAAGGTATGTGGATTTTTATATACAACGTTTTTATAAAGAGAAAGAAGTCTTGGCGGGAATACATAACGAATTTCATATTTCGATAAGGTTTCATATTATATTGTATGATATGAGTAAGTAGACGTAGTTTTTTGGTACATTTTTGAATAAAAACTTTTTAATAAAATCTTTTTTTAATCAAGTATATATAGAAATTATCCTTTATGACTTCTTCACATTTTTCGGATAGCTTCATAATTCCATTCGTAAAGCATCTAGTCCACGTGATTTTTGCAGATACCGAAACAAATGGTATTCAGACGACTTTTTTTTAATTGTTTCTTTGAATTGTCGGTAGAGGACCGCATTTACTGTTGCATCATGTTGGAGCAGCTCATAATAGACAATTCCCTTTCAATCTTGCCAAATACTCAACATAACATTGTTTTCCGTCGTTTTAAGACTTTAAAGTCGTAGATGGAGTGTTACCAACATTTGATGTTTCGGTTAAATTAGATATTCTCGTATTTGATTCATTTTTATTAGGTAGTGTTTCACTGATAATAATCCGGTCAATCAAATTTGTTCGCGTTCATTCATGTAATAAATCGAGCGCGTTTCGTTACCCAACTCTATATAAATTATTACAAACTATCATGTGTTTAATGTTTAGTACTGCAGCAATGACAGCTTACATGTCGGATTGCCATATCATCTGCAAAATTTCAACATTTTTTTTCAGGACTGACAGAGCAAAACGCATATTTGACATCCAAATTTGCAAAACGGAATCCAGCAAACCACCCCTGAGTCTACCCTTTACTTACAGCATTATTCACAATCAGGACCAAATAACATAACAAATTCCTTTAATAATTATTCAATCATGACTTAGAAAATACTATAATACATTTGCAAAAGGTTAGGTTATACGACAGTCGTATGTACTCACACTCCTATTTTGAGACTCATCTTGATTCCTTAATAAATTTTAGTGAACTCCGGGCAGTACACCCATTGCCTTTATTTTACGTACAGATGCAAACAATTCTATTCAATAATTTTATAGTCTATATATCAAAACAAACAAAGACTTTGAAGCAATCTAAGTGGCTGTCGCAAGAATTGAATTGATCAAAGTTTTTAATGGGAAATATCAAGCCCACAATGTGGTAGTCACAAAGAGTTACTTTTGTGGTTTTCAGCTACGAGGGTTATATTTGAATCAATTGCAATAGACAACCACATTTCGTAAATCAGGGGCATTTTAGTTGTTAATTTAAGTCAGTAACAGACCCAGCAAGCAGAATTCTTACTCAGCCTAGCATTGTAATTGTGGTTTGTAATAAAGAATGATTTCTGGAAATTGGTGTATTACGAATTTAAATATTCAAAATGGAAAAAAGTGTGAAGAAAACAAATATCTAGCCAATAAGCAGTCATAATTTCAATATCAAACAAGATATCTCTATTTTTGCAACATATTTTAAATTATTTTATTAGTAAACTAAGTAGTAGTAGTAACTTACCTTGCAGACGTATAGGCATTGCTGGATTTGGACACTTCGTCCTGTAAAGCACACATCTCTGCATTTGTTTCATTAAGTTTCCGTTCCATTTCAATTGTTTCTTGAGTATGCATTTCTTCTATTTCCAATAAATGTTTCTGTAAGCGTTCCAGGTCTTTTCGTATCATTGCATTCTGTTCTTGAACTTCGGCCTTTTCTTGTTGTATAAGCTTCTGATTGGTTTGTTCCGTCAGTAAGTTGGTAGTTAGAATATCAGATTTTTCTTTAAGGAAATTAATTTGGTCCTGTAATTTTTCCTCCTGTTTTTTCAACTCAACTATATTTGTTTCGAGTGTATTGCACTTTTCACATGTCTTTGGAGCTGCAATGGCTGCTTGCATTTCTTGTTGTTGCTGCTGCAACTGTTGTACAAGTGGCTGAAGACGCTGTATTTCCATATAATACTGCATATTTTCGGAATGTTTTTGCTGCAGTGCTTTGATCATTTCTCCTTTTTCATAATTTAATGTTTCTATGGTTTTTTGTAAGTCTGCTGTATCAAGCAGTTGACTTTCAAGTTCTGCAATACGCGCTAAAGCCTTTGCTTCACTTCCTAAATCTTTTTTAGAAGTTTGCAATTCTTCCAGTGTTGCTCTTTGTAACTCAAATTCTTTTTTCAAATCTTCATACTGATTTTCTATCAAATATTTTGCTTCTTGTAGTAGTTTAAACTCAAACAAGCTAATGGTGTTTTCTTCTATAGATTTTATATTTTCAAACTTTTGCTGTAATACATCTAATTGGTTAGACTTTTCGTGTAGATCTGTTCTTAACTCCTCTAATTTTTTTAAGTCTTCCTGCATTTTTTGCTTTAACTCCAGATTTTGCTGTTCAGCATTATTGAATTGGGTTTGATATTGATCTTTATTACTTAACTCCTTCCTCAACGTTTCGATTATAATATCCTTAGCTGAAAATTCTTGCTTAAGAATACTTTTTTCTTCTTCACTAGCCGCAAAATTTTGTGTCAATATTTCTACTAATTTATTCTGCTCTTCAATTGCCAATTTGTTATTCTGCTCTTCTTGCAAAGCTTGTCGTTTAAGCGAACTTAACTCATTTTCAGAAGTTTCTCGCAATTTGTTTGATTCGACCAAAGCAGTTTTCTGTGCTTGCATCGCAGCAACCAAATCTGCATGATCTTTACTTAATCTACTCAACTGATTTTCCAAACTTTCGTTTTTATCCTCAACTTGCTTTAGTAGTTGTGCAGACTTCTGTTCCTTATCATCCTCAGCTTTTAATTCGTTCATTTCAAAAACTAAATTTGTTTTCTCCAATTCATAATTTTCTACTTCCAATTCTAAATCCTTGATTTGCAGCTTAAGTTCATCCTCTATTTTTTCCATTGTTTTTATTTGTTCAGCAAATTCTAGTTTCTCATGCTCTAATTCACTGATTTTATCACGCAAGTCAACATACTCCTTCTCTAAGGTAGTATTAAGTTTAATAGACTCCTCGAGTTGTGATTCCAATTGCACAATATTTTCTTCGTTATTTTCCGATATAGTCTCTAGCTTGTTTCGTTTATAATTTTCTAATTCGTTTAGTAGTATTTCATTGTTTTTCATTAACTCATCACACTGTAAAATGTATTGAGAAATATCTGCCTCTAAAGTTTTCTTTTCATGATCCCAAACTAACTTTGCATCTTGTAGATCAATCATATCTTCAGACATTTGTGCTAGACTCTTTTCTAAAGCATCAATTTTCCAAAGCTTCTCTCGTAACGATTTGAAAGCTCTATCTACAGAATCCTCAGAGCTCAAAGCTGTCTCTTGCTTTACATACACTTCAAGTACATCACGGAATTTCTCTAATTTAAACGGCTCTTCCTCATCTGCATCCAGATCTGTAATTTCTTGCTTTTCTTCTGCGATCGCTTGACGGAATTTATCTTGTGCTATACTTTCCAATTCTGTGCGCAAACTTTCATTTTCCGTCGTTAAACACCTAAGTCTATCTTCAAGTTCCGCACTATTATTCAATGTTTCTGTTTCCGCTTCCGCATTTAATTTAAATTTCTGATTTTCAAGCGTCAATTGTTGGATTTTACACTCCAATTCTGTAACACGTTTTTGTGCTGTACGTAGAGATTGCAATTCTACCTGCAATGCTTCCTTTTCTTCTTCGGAAAAAATCAAACGTTGCTTTAATTCAAGCAATGAACTTATACTCTCCTTACTTTCTTTCAATTCCGTTGAAAGAAGTGTTTTTTCTTCTGTTAAAATTTTAAGTTGTTCTTGTGCAATAACAGCCTCTGCTGCTCGCTCTTTAAGATCATCAATTTTCTCCTGTGCCTCTAATTGTTCTGCTAGTAGCATTTTTATATTTTCTGCTTGTGCTTCGCATTTCTCCTCTAAACTTTGTAGGCTTTGTAAATTGTTTGGTATTTCCTGATCTCTTAATTTCAATGCTAAGCTACCATTTTCCAACGTTAGTTCTGATACGCGATTTTCCAATTGTACAATTTTATCCTTCAATTCCTCTTTTGTTGGGGGTGTTGTAGGACCAGAGGAATTTGTATCACTTTTACCAACTAGTATAAACTCATCTTCGCTTTGCTTACCCATCGAGCTAGAGGATGATTCGGAGGTTTTCTTTTCTTTTATTGTTTTCAACTCTTCTATTTCTTTCAATACCTGTTCAAGTCGTTGCAATAATTCTGTGCGTTCATCTTCAGATTTTTCTGTTTCTTTATTGGCAATTTTAACTTTTTCTATTAATTCAATATTATCCTGACCTTTCTTTTCTAATAAAGTTTGTAAATCTAACATATCTTCTTCATTTATCTTTAACATTTGCACCAAATCCTCATTTTTTCTTTGTATATCGGTTCTTTCAAATGTTAATGTTTTATTATCGCCTTGAAGTTTCTCAATTTCTTTCCTCAATTTTCCTAACTCAAGCTCACTACATATAAACTTATCGGCTTGCTCTTCCTTAAGGATGTTATAATTTGTAGTTACAACGTTTAGCTTTTCTTGCAATTCATTTTTTAACTCAAGCACATTTTGCATAGCTAGGTTATGTTGTTCATCTAGTTCCTCTAATGCAGTGTTCAAATCTTTATTTTCTGCTTCCGATTTCTCCAAACGCAACTGTAATGCATGCGCTGTTTGTGTGGCATTACCCATTGACACATCTTCCAATGTAACATTAACCAAATCGTTGCCATTGCCGCTTGAGGTTTCCGAACTGTGACGAGTGTCGAGCTTGATATTGTCTGGTTCCCAGCACCAACTGTCTTCAAGCTGTGCATTTTCATCCTGCAAATAATAAAATTAAATTTTTTAATGTTTAGGAAATTATAACTTTAATTGAATATATGCATAGTAGTTCTTATAGTAATGGTTCGTATTCTACTATAATTTTAATGATTTTAAAGAATAGTGTTTTGCTTTTAAACTCCCATTATATTAATTTTAAATATATATAATAAGTACATAATACATATTATATATAATATAATAATCATAACGTGGGTTTTAAAATAAAAAAAATATTTTTTGAAACAAGTATTTATAGTTAATTAGGTCATCTATTAGTAATCAATACTTTGCAAGGTTATTGCTCAAGATTGTGAATACCCCTTTAAGTTTTTATACAAAATTTTCTCCAATTATTGTATTTAAAATACAATTTTATGATAAATATTTTTAATTATTTATTACACAAAGAATATATGTATGTTATATATAAAAATAATAATATATATAATAATAATAATATATATAATAATAATAATATATATAATAATAATAGTAATATATATTATAATAATAATATATATAACATATAATAAATTAGTAGCAGAAGGTATTAGAACTGGGAGAATGTTTACAGTGAGATTCAAAAGAAATACTATAGGCATGTATCTTTTATTAAATTATAATTTTTATTTACTAAATAATTTCAAATCGTAGTAATCTAGAATTGCCCTCTCTTTTCCAATAGTTTGATATAATGAGAGAAATCTTTCAAAAGGTACTAAAACTAGGAAGTTAAATAAGTAGTGTCTTGAAGTATTTCTATATTAAAAAAAATAGTGTCAGCGTAATTTAAAAGATATATGCATGGTTTTTATAAAGAATATATCTTTGTAAAGAATTATTTTTTCGGCTGCATAAAAAAAACTAACTCATTTGATTTTAAATATCTAAAAATCTAAACTAAAATCGTGTAAGATATAATATCTTTTTATTTTATTTTCAATATATTGATTTGTATTGTTTGATAGTGTCTTTCAACACTTTTTTCCTTTTTTTTTTTTGGGGCTCATCTTAGGTCTCACTGATTTCAATATCCAAGAAAAACAAAGGAAAGGAAAATGCCTATAAAAATCAGGAATATCTAATATTATGCAGTCTTCTCTTTTAAATTAAATAAATATGACATTCTATTTTTTCTTTATATATGATATATCTTTTGTCTGGAGCACAACTTCGCATATTCATTTAAAATTAATTAAAAGCATTTTTAAGGCATTGCAAAATATTTTTTCACACCTTTTTGAAATATAATTTAAAATAGTTTCGTTATCAGCTCAGCTAAAATTTTTGCAACGTGATCTCGCATATAAAAATTTTTATAATCATTATATTTTGAAGATAAAATTTAAATAAAAAACCTTGATCAGCGAAAAAACGTTTTTCTGTGTAAATTATATAAAAACCGAGACTAATAAACTATCAATTTGAGATATTGTAGAGAAACGACGACGGGCAAATACATAAAAATATTCTGAAAAGAAATAGAAAGAATGAGAAAACCTCAGCAATTGCAAGTTGTGTTTATAAGTAAAAATATTGCAAAAATTTTTCAATATACAAAAGTGTACGTTGGAGTAAAAAAATAAATGAGATATGCAGGGGTTTAATGGTAGCAGTCAGTGATCGAAAATCAGCGCCGAGCCAGAGATAGATCCTCCAGCAAAGTGGATTTGCGTAAGTCCACAGACTTTTTGGAGCGCGTGAGTGTGTGCACTTGTATATTTGTTTGGCTTATGTACCTCAAAGTGCTTAGTCATTATGTTGTTTCCAATCCATTCAAGCGGTCACAAATATGAAAAATGAAGCAGCATTCATTGTAACTCACTAACAGATATAAAGGCAACATCGGATGGAAAACGAAAAAAAAAAAATTGGTCCGTCATACGCCATTGTGCAGAATAATTTCTCTCTCATAGCCATAACCATACAACCACACAATAGCAACACGGTCACAAACTGGCGGACAAGCATGCACACAAACACGTTGGATGGTTGCCTTTATGGAGGTAAGGAATTAGTTCAAGTACTTTAACGTGCCTAAACTTGGCTTGACAGTTTAGTATTTATTATTTTTATTGTTTTCTTTTTTTCCGTACATATGAATGGCAAATTTGTGGTTAAAAGTAAAACGCTAAGTGGGCATGTTCAGAGACATATGGGCTTTGAGAGGTAGATGCATATGCGAAGTACTTGATATGCACGAAACTGGGCAGGCAAAACAGCTAATTATGCGCGGTATTAAACTGTGCGTTTAAGTTTTGCACATACTGAATACAAAAGCAGGTCAACTTTAATTGTACGTTTTACTCATAAAGACAAAATCACAAACTGTGGAAGGTCATAAACGCCACTTAATGAGCGCTCAACAAACAATCATAAAAAAAAAAATAGAAGCACAAGTTTGATGACATTTTCTCAAGAATCAAACTTACTCGAAGATATATACATTGTCTTAGTTTTACTTTTAACTTAGTACATAAGAACTTTATAACCTTACACGTAAATAATGGTAGCATTACTGCATTACTCTTATAAACGATGACAAAACATCGTGATTATTTTTGAAAATAACAGATAATGTTTTTTTGGAAAGTATTGTAATTAATTTGGTATTGCGTAAAATTTTCTCAAACATATAAAAAAAATAACAATTAAAGTTTTCTACATATTCCGCTTAATTTCTTAGTGTAGCAAAAACGATTCGCCAAACCTAATCACCGGTACATCGCGCAAACGATTCGATAGAACATTGTTAATGCGATTCGATAGCATATCGTTAACGATTTGATAGCATATCGTTAACGATTCGCTGGCAAATGATTAAAGCAATTCACCGGCTCATCAACAAAACGATTTGATCGCAACTCGCGAAAACAATTCACTCACAGATCGTTAAAACGGATCGCCGGCATATCTTCAAAACGATTTGCCGGTAAATTGGGAAATTTAAATAGGAACAAAGTTGTCGTCGGTTATCACACGAAGTCCGCTTTGAAATATAAGCTCGCCATGCCGAATTCTTCTGATGCTCTAGATTAATAGCAGCTCAGCACAAGAAAGTTGACTAAACCCTTTATTTACTCACAAAGACCACACATTTCCTTCTCAGGCCTATATATCTTATAATAACGCTGGCCATACTGACGGGTCAGATAATTTGCCAATAGCTTCAGCTATATTCGACTTACAGATTTGGAGCTGTATAAGTAAAACTAACCGTATGGTTATTCAACGTTTCCAAAATAAAGTATTGAGGTGTATTGTTAAAGCGCCTTGGTATATACGTAACTCGGATCTTTATCGGGACCTCGGCATTGCATATGAAGCGAACGTCATTACTAAGTACGCAAATCTCATGCCGGCAGACTCAGGTGTCACATAAATCCAGAGGCTATGTGTCTCTTTTATCCTATACAATTAGATCGAAGATTATAACGAACTGTACCCAAGGATCTTGTTGGTATTTAGCTTAAGAAGTGTACTTTAATTTCAAATTTATATTTAATAAATTATTAGATAGTAACGTTTTCTGAAAGAAATATGGAAAATATTTCAAAAACATTATTCAAACCCTTCCAACTTTTAAATAGTTTGTTTTCGTCATAAGACACGTCGGTTTCGACAAAAAAAATTATCATTATTATTATAGTTTTTGTAATACAATACAATAATATAATTAGATAAAGAGGTTTTCGAACAGAAGTGAAACAACAACAAAAATTTATTTTTTTTTTTTTTTTTTTTTTTAAATTATTTTAATTAATTGAATTTTTGGCTGACCATACAGCTGTTTCGAGTATTGCCAAATACCCTTCATCAGTGGTCTTGGAAATAATTCTTGTATTTAATTATTCGTAAATAATTATTTTTTGAGACTGCAAGTACCAGGAATCGAACTCGGGTCCTGCCAAATGTGAAGCTCAGAATCAGCGCACCTTAACCAACTGATCCAAAGCCGTACTTGACTATAATTAGTATAATGTAAAATATACAATTGATCAATGAATAAGAAATGCACTATTATTGATATGTTAAGGGTTTTAGTACTGAAGGTTGTTTTTGAATAAATTTTTGGTTGACACTCTCTATCTCGATAAACATTGAAAATAGACGAAATGGGGATCTACGATTTTTTCTTTTCTTGACCCAATGAATTATATACTACATTTTTAGCACCCTGTATTATCAAAAAATCAATTTAGAAGTTTCAACATTTCTTCGTTTGTAGTCTTTATCAAAACAAAAATAAACAAACAAAATAAATATAAATCAAAATTATCACACTTGCTTACGTATTTTAAAGACTAAATGAATACCCTTATATAATTCCCTATTCTTTTATTTACTATATTTTTATATACTATACATTTTATTCTACTGACACGACAGTAGCAGAAAAAAAATGTACATAAAATATTGAGTTACCATGTAATAAACTCGATAAATTATAGCATATGCCGATGTAAATATTTGCTATAATGACAAAATTCAAAGCGCGACTAATAAAAAGTACATTTTTATCTATGATTTTATATACTACAATACAAAAACGAACAACTAACAATACACAACAAAAAAGTTAATTAAAATTGGTATGTAATAACGTGGCAGATAATGCAAAAAATCCCCAGCCTATACGGCTTATGTGGCTAAAAATGCAATTCATTCCATACTCTCTCTTACCCTCACATTGCATTTTATATTTAACTGCATTTGTATTATTTTATATATATATATATAAGTTCTTAAAAGAAAGTATGGTGTTTTTACTATACAGTTTAGAAGCAAAATTATTTTTTATTTCTTAACAAAAAAAAAATATATATAATCCAGTAAATGAATAATTAAGAACACTTAACTTCTTATTAAAGTATGATATGATTACTTCGCTTTTTATCAATAAAATAATTTATACAAGATTCAAATCATTCGAATCATAAAACGATTATTTTATAAAGTCCAAGACGTTACCTTTATTTCAATGACATAGAAATAAT